GAGAAGAAATCTGTTAAGATTGCAGAATTAAGAATAGAGAAAATAAATTCATAAAAATTCCAGAAATAAATGGGAAAAAATTGATAATAGTTGTAAAAAGAGGAGAGAGAGGTATCGTAAGTGTGAACTATAAATAAATAAAATAGCCAATAAACTTGGTAATGGGAGATTTAAAATCCCTGTTGTCTTAAAACTCGAGAGGAAACTCGGAAAGAAATCAGTATCGTCTCTATAAAGATTAGCCTAACTCCAGATCCTCCATAAAGTATCAAATGTCTAAATTACCATGAAACTACTGTGCGCACGAATGAGTAATCCACTATTCCATATTCATTATTTGCAAAATTAACTTCCATCTTCCACACTCAATCGGACTCAATCTCCACAGCCAATTAGCCATTTAAACTACCTTCCCACCACAGTACTTTACGCTTAACCCAACCATAGAAACTACTTCTCCCACGAAAAATCGACCATAAGCAATTAATCCAACGAAACAAGGATGTTATCTCGCCCAAAGTACATAAAACGCGCGTAAAATCTTCTTATCCAGCAAAAGTCGCTTATCAGGCCCGTAAAAGCTGACGAGGGACTCGTGAGGACGTGGACATTCGCAAAAATAAGAAGCTTCTGCTCTGTCGGGTCCAAAATTTCCCGTCACAGTCTGGTTAGCGTCGCGTCGGCTGAGAGATCACGGATAATCCAGCGACACTAGCCTCTTCTCTCCCCCTTCTTTCGCCGCTCTTTCTCGTTCCATCGTAATGATATTCCACTTTGTTAACGTGTAAACTCGGTAGCCATGATCCGTTTCCACGCACCGGTGCGCTCAGCGTCGCCGCGGTCGTCGTCGTCACGCTGGAAACCCAAGAACACGTCTATGACGGGCTACGATGATGATGATGATGATGATGATGATGATCCCACGGCGCGTAATCCTCGTATCGTTCGAGATCCTCCTGGTTTTTCCAGCCCCACTACACCTCCGTTCGGGATGATCGTGGTTGCGACACGCGTCACGCTTCATGGATCATCTAGGATTTCGGTGCTTCGCGGGGGTTATATGTTGTTCGTGATGTTGTACCGATTTTTGTATCGGAGATTGAGGATTGTGGGATGTTTCTGTGTCGGTGGAATTTTAAGATTGATCTTTTTATTAATTTTTGTGTATATGTTAGGATAGGTTTGAGATTTATTTGAAATTGTGATCTACAGTGTTTGCAATTTTGCTGGATTTAATTTCTCCCAGTTCTATTGATCTTTATTTCGTAAATTGTGGGGTTTCTGATTTTCGTGTCATTGAAATGAAAATTTTCGAATTGATATTTTCACTGATTTCTTTATCTAAATTAATATGGATTTCGGAAATATTAACGAGTGAAATTTATTTGAAATTGTGATCCTCGCAGTGTTCGTAATTTCTCTGGATTTAATTTCTCCCAGTTCTATTGATCTTTATTTCGTAAATTGTGGGGTTTCTGATTTTCGTGTCATTGAAATGAAAATTTTGGAATTGATATTTTCACTGATTTCTTTATCTAAATTAACATGGATTTGAGAAATTTTAAGAAATAAGATTTATCTAAAATTGTGATCTACAGTGTTTGCAATTTTGCTGGATTTAATTTCTCCCAGTTTTATGGATCCTTATTTCGTAAATTGTGGGTTTTCCGATTTTTATGTCATTGATATGAAAATTTTCGAATTAATTTTCTCACTGAATTCTTTATTGAAATTAATATGGATTTCGAAAATATTAACGAGTGAAATTTATTTGAAATTGTGATCCTCGCAGTGTTTGTTTATTCTCTGGATTTAATTTCTCTCAGTTCTATGGATCCTTATTTCGTAAATTGTGGGTTTTCCGATTTTTATGGCATTGATATCAAAATTAGGAATTGATTTTTTCACTGATTTCTTTATCTAAATTAATACAGGATTGAAAAATGTTAACAAGTAAGATTTATCTGAAATTGTGATCCTCACGGTGTTCCCACTTTTTCTAGATTTAATTATTCCTAATTTTATCGATCTTTATCTCATAAATTATACATTCTATAATTTTTGTGCCATTGAAATGAAAGTTAACGCAGGTTTTAGAAAAGCCAACAAATAACATTTATTTGCATCTCCATGTTACTTGAGTGCTTGGAAGTTTCCCACACTGCCTGTGTTTTACACTTTTAATATTGAATATTTTATTAGCTCTTTTTATGCAGTTCTCATGTTTCAAAAAAATTTAGTAGGTCAAGTATAATATGTGACATTATTCCAGAGCTTAGAAGGTTTTCTTCACGGCGAACATAATTATTTGCTATTCAGAAGCATCTCACATCGATGAATTCTATTTTTTTTCTTTTTTACTCACCTTTTCATACACCTTATTGTAGCTTTCAGCAAAAAACTGAGTAGCTCAAGTATGGTACTTAGAGTCTTGTTACTTTTCTCTCTCTCTCTCTCTCTGTTTTTATAGCTGTAATATAGGAATGTACCTAATCGCTTTTTTAAAACGACTGATGTATTCCTTATGTGCAGATTAATTCAGCTCGTTACGCCGGATATAAAAGTGCACGTCGCGTGATTTAATATTGAAATTTCATTCACAGCAATTTCCATTCGTAACGATACTTCTTGCCAGTCCTGACTTCCACTAACCCCATTTTCCGCTGATTACACCGCAGACTCTCTTAAGACAATACATAAGCGATCTGAGTAAATCAATAAGTTTCCCCGTTACGATCAATGCACAATTGAATTGAAGGAATTATGCCTCAGCTCGTAAACCATTAGCGTACTATTCCGTACGTAGGCTTGGGAAATATTGTGCAGGTAATAAAGCGAGAAAACAAGGCGCGTGTAATTTGAAATCAGTAATTTAAAAAAGTATCTTTTCAATCAATGAAAGATCGATAAAAAATACTTCCGTGAATTAGAGTGCATCGATAGAAAATATTTTCGCGAATTACAGTGGATCGATAGAAAATATTTTCGCGAATCACAGTGGATCGATAGAAAATATTTTCGCGAATCACAGTGAATTAATAAAATATATTTTCGCGAATCATAGTGGATCGATAGAAAATATTTTCGCGAATCACAGTGGATCGATAAAAAATATTTTCGCGAATCACAGTAAATTACTAAAATATATTTTCGCGAATCATAGTGGATCGATAGAAAATATTTTCGCGAATCACAGTGGATCGATAGAAAATATTTTCGCGAATCACAGTAAATTAATAAAATATATTTTCGCGAATCATAGTGGATCGATAGAAAATATTTTCGCGAATCACAGTGCATCGATATAAAATATTTTCGCGAATCACAGTGGATCGATAGAAAATATTTTCGCGAATTACAGTGGATCGATAAAAAATATTTTCGCGAATCACAGTAAATTAATAAAATATATTTTCGCGAATCATAGTGGATCGATAGAAAATATTTTCGCGATCCACGCTAACTAGGTTATCACTAACCAAGAAAATTGTTCGCCATCGATAACAATAATCAATAACCAAAAAAAATGATATTCCTTCGTATTACTTATTCACAACCCAAACTTCTACCTCAAAAAATTAATCACCACATTATAACAATTCCCCTATTAACATTACAACAGTTAAAACGTCAAGAATTACAGAAAACGAACTTCTCGTTGTGAAACGAGCTCTTCTCTCGCTCACCTGGCTCCCGATCCTTTCTAGGACCAACAGTTTACTTAATAGAAAGGACTCCCTCCAAAGCCTCCTGTACATTTAACCTGCACTTCTGTTCGTCCGTTTACTCTGGTCCACTCACGAACTCAACCGGTAACCAAACAATTCGTGAACGGTTCGTGCATCACGTCGCATCTCTCTCGAAACCGTGCTCGATCGAACAGCAGCCATCCCAAGAATTTACGATCTTTCTTGCCTTTTCGTTCTCGCGACGAGAAAAGACGAGAAAAGACACGGTGGATCTCTTTTGGCGAATTCTAAATCTCCCAAGGTCCAACGCTTGTCGAAGGCTGTGCACCGACGGTGGATTTCCGAAATCCAAGGCCACGACGAACTGGAGCACGATGATCTGCAACGAGATCGTAATCGTGAGAAGGACTGAGAGGGTAATCGTGCGGAACCACGATCGATCCCATCGTCGGACGAATGAATCGTGCTATTGTTGCGATAGACTTCGCTCTGACGTTTCTGCACGTCTCGAGAAAGATCGTTATTTTCAGATTGAGCAAAGACTATCTTGATCTTTTCGATGGATCTGTAGATGGAGAGGGGGAAAAATGAGTCACCGATCGGATTCGTGTACGTAGGTGCCTATTGTCGAGTCTTTCATGTCTGATTAATTCTTATCTGATGGGGTGAATAGGAAATATCCAGAAAAAAATTGGACAAAAATTGCTGAACTTGTCAAATTGTGAAAGAAAAGAAAGAGACAGTGTGTGGTTCGTTTCGAAATGATTCTGGCAGTTTGGAAAGAACAAGATTAAGACGAAAGATCGAGATGATAATTTGTTTAGTGATGGATCGAGGTAAAAATTGTTCGGCAGAGATTTTCGCGTAGATAGGTTTCAGTAGGAGAAGAAAGCTTCGTTTTTGAAATTCTGAACAATCGTTAAAGCAGAAATTTCAGAAATTTTTTTAAATGGGAAATAAAATAGAGAATATGCAAATTAGAAGATAGAAATATATTATGGGCTAGAAATTTGGGATCGTTCATCAATTTACACAGGGAAATCTGGACAATCTTGAAAGGAAAAATTTGGAAAATTAAAAGAAATGGGATATATGCAAATTAAAATATAGACGAACGTCACAAATTTTCTGCTTTCTCGTTTAATATTTCAGTGATCGACAGTAATATTCTACCACAAATTTCCATAACAAAAAATGAATCGAAAGTCTGAAATTTCCCACTCGTTTCGTATATTTCAACTCTGAAATATTTAAGCGAAGATTCCAATCGAAATGGAGGCGCTTGATGGATCGATCGTTCTCTAATTCCAGATCAGAGTGCCGCTGAAAGTGAGCTTCTCAGCCAGGCCCAAGGACGTGGTTGTCTCGATCACGAAGAAGCACCTGACCTGTGGAATCAAGGGCCAACCGGCGATCCTCGACGGCGACTTCCCGCACGAGGTCAAAGTCGAGGAATCCACCTGGGTGATCGAAGATGGAAAAGTGTTGCTGATCAATCTGGAGAAGGTAAGTGAAATTCCACGTTTCTCTGTCCCAAAAACGGCCTTGTGTCCGAACGAGGAACGCTCGACGATGCTATCGTCGAAGCTAGCGTGACTTTTGACCATAGGTATCAAACACCGCGAGAGAATTCACCGGTCTTGACGTGGCCATGAACGATCAGAGTACAACGTATAGAGAGTTTGGCGAAGGTTGAATCGTGACTTCTTAACGAGCGACTCTTTGCTTGATATCTAATTGACAGGATTCGGTGGCATTGTTGGTATTTCGATAATTATTCGATCTTTCGTTCAGGCGTCTCACTCTTGATCCTACGTCTATCTCACCTAGAGATTCTTTATCGTTTCCACGCAGGATTGTGTTCGATAGGTTTCTGTTTACAAATGTTTCTCCGCCGAGTAGGCTCGATTTCGAAATGTCGAGTAAGTAACACCTTCGCATTTTTTCTTTCTTCGTACAATTAACAATTGGACTACAGAGACACTTGAAACGCACGCGGCACACCTGATTCGCAGCCAGCTAAATATTGGAAAACGCTCGACTTTCCTCCGCAGGTGAACAAAATGCAATGGTGGGCGCACGTGGTGACCTCTGACCCCGAGATCAGCACGAAGAAGGTGAATCCAGAGCCGAGCAAGCTGTCCGACCTCGACGGTGAAACGAGAGGCCTGGTGGAGAAGATGATGTACGACCAGAGGCAAAAGGAACTAGGACTGCCTACGTCCGACGAGCAGAAGAAGCAAGACGTGATCAAAAAGTACGGGAGAACAGTCACGACCTCGTTATAAATCATCGCGAACTATTCAGACAGATCTTGAACCGCTGGTAAATTTCATTTTTGCAGATTCATGGAACAACATCCGGAGATGGACTTCTCCAAGTGCAAGTTCAACTAGGACGGATCCGAATGGCAAACTGATAGATTGGTCGAACGTTGAGAGATATTATTGAGAGCAAATTTGGTTAACAAATCGGAAGAATATTTTATCGATGCATCCAGCCAAGCGAGATCCAGCGAAACCTCCTTTATGATATCTCGTTAATCGTCACTGTGGGCGTCTCGACGTTTTCTCTGCACCTAACTTTCGAAACAGTTCGCCGTGAGATTTAGGAAAAGGCGGTGTTACGATTCCCGTGGAAAATGGATTCCACGAGAAAAGAAAAAAACAAAAAATAATGAAAATAAGGATTTACAATTAGTTTCTTTGTGACAAGTTCGCTTCGATGGTTTCTTTGCCGCCTATCTTTGAACCGTTCCGTTTGATCGCTGGTCCGAGTGGAGCAGGAACAGTGTCGAGTTGCACAAATATATATTATAAATAGTGTACCGTATGATTTCTTTTTCACATTGCGTTTCCTATCATTGAATAAAGAGTTTAGAGAAGAAGAAGAAAAGAGTTCACCCGTTATACGTTGCTTTCGTTGAGAATTTGAAATCCAGTTGGAAATGATAGAAATCGAACAAATTGTTTCGTTTTATTTTATCGTCGTCTGTTTTATAAAATGGTATTTTTCGTATGCAAAGTGATGTTTTGTATCGGTTAGAAATAAACAGAGTAATAAAATGACATTCGTTTCAAGAGACGCATGGCAGTCAGAATGATTACTCCCGTTCTTTCGATTTGAATTACGGTTGAACAGCGTTCTTAGCGTTAGTACGAGTCCTCCGGACAGTTAGCAAGCACTGAGCACAGTGATCGAAGCACACATGATGTGTCCATCGAAGGTTTCAATGAAAATCGTCCGTTTCTCTGATCACTCTGCTGACCCAGCGAACGTAATTCGACATTCTAGCGTATATCCCGAATTTTCCACGTTTTCCACATCCCTCGCCGAAACTGGTGATGCCGAAAATCGTCCACGGATGATCCGGTCTTCGCGGATCTCGACAGAGAAGCGGTCCTCCGCTGTCGCCCGCGCATGAATCTATTTTTCCACGTCGATATCCCGCGCAGAACATGTTCTCCGTGATCCTGTAGTCCACGTAAACGCCTCGACACGCCTCCGTGGATACTATGGGTATCTGGGAAATTTTAAAAAAATTGTTTCATTTTGTAAAGAAGTTCGACGTTGAGAGAAATTGTAGGTTCAGATTAATTACGGCGATACGCGGATGTAACATACCCGTGCCTCGTGAAGAACATCGGTACCGAAGTCGTCGGTGACTCGGGACTTTCCCCAGCCAATGATGGTGCACAGCTGATTGGCAGGTAGAGGTTGGTTAGCCACCGGAAGGCAGGCGAATCCTCTGGAAGGTGAGGTTGTCAGAGTGACAGGAAGACGAAGCATCGCAACGTCATTGTCCACTGTGTCGGCGTCGTATTCGGGGTGTATCGTCACTGAATCCACCTGAGAGAGAAAGCGAGGCTTGTTTGAGGAGATTCGGAATGTGTTTCGGTTTGAAAAGTGCTCGGTGCGCTGGAATGATGGAGTACTTGCAATGTTGAGATACTTGAGTTAGAGAAATATTTGGAATATTAGCTTTGAGGAATTCTTATGTTCTTAAATTATCGAAGTACTTTGGAATGAACGAGTACTTTAAGTATTGGAGAGTTCAAAATTAATGTATCTGGATCTAATGACTACTCAGAATACTGAAACACTTGAGAGACAATGTTGAAGTACTTTGGTACTAAGTGTGCTCAGGCACAAAAATGTTACTTTGAATGCACGAGTACTTGGAGTATTGGACTTACTCAGTACTGAATGAGTTAGGAATGCACGAGTACTTGGAGAATATTGACTTGCTACTGAAAGTACTCAGAGTACAAGAATTCTACTCTACTTTGGTACTAAGTGTGCTCAGGCACAAAAATGTTACTTTGAATGCACGAGTACTTGGAGTACTGAACTTACTCAGCACTGAATGAGTTAGGAATGCACGAGTACTTGGAGAATATTGAAACACTTGCTACTGAAAGTACTCAGAGTACAAGAATTCTATTGAACGATAAATACCCTTAATTCCAATTCAGTGCCCTCTTTCACCGTCAAATCGTGTTCTCCAATTCGAACATAAAGTCGCTTTCTGATACAGTGTGCCGCAGTTAGCACCCATCTCGGTGAAACCAAGGTCCCTCCGCAAAAAGCTTCCTGCAAAAATGATGTTATTCTTAACAAATTAAGTAAATCAATTATTGACGATTGCGCTTAAAATATTGGAGAACTTACACGGAATCTGTTCAATACGGCAACTTGCCAGGGCCAGCTTCCAGGAGTCGACGGACGTCCACCGATGATCTTCGTGAAGTAAGATAGGCGATAACTTTTTTGATTGCTCGAAATTCCGCATTTCCAGGCGTGGAAATTCTTCTCGGGAATGAAACTGTCGACGGTGTTGGGATTTAGCTCGAACTCGTCTAACACGATATCTAAATAGTTAGAGCTACTGTATTCTTTCGAGAAATAGCGGAGAATATGGGATTTATTTCTACTTAACTCACCGTCACCGTCTTCTTCGTGGCTTCCACGGATTTTTCGATGAATCCATCTTTGGCAGAAGCTACCCTCGACGTAACAATAGGCGCTTTCTCTTATCACGTCGCGTTCGCAGATTCCGGGCTTCTTGCACCACCTTTGATTATTTATTTGCAAATTATAACACGTGAATATTGATAGAAAATTAATACAAAAAATAGTGATCTAATAAAAAAGAATTGTTTAATTTAGTTTTCCAAATTATTATTTATCAGGATTTGATATTTTTATTTTTTGCGGAAGTTGGTGTTAAATATTCACCTGTGACGTTGAGTGGTGCACAATCTTGTGCAAGGTGACCATTTACTCCATTTCCCGTAATATCCTACAGCCTGGTCTTTGATGTCCTTGCCTCTTCGTTTTCCGTGTCTAGGCTCTGCTTCCTTTTTAGGCATCTGATGTTGTACATAAGTAACAGTTGCAAATTTTTAGCGTCCTACTGAAGTATTAATTGCAAGTGAAAATTGTTGAAATTTTACCTGCACGACGTGGAAGTTTTCCTTTCTCCTGTGCCCTCTTCTTTGACGCTGCTTGCATCTCCTCCACCTGCTTTTTCTATTATGCTGGCAGGACCTTTCCTCCTGCAAAAAATTCAGTGAAATCGTAAGAGTCTCCATATATCCTTTAAAAATAGTACTTCTTAAAAGAACAAAGATTTGAAAACTCACCCTAAGTATCGTGTTCCCACATCGTTTCTTCACCCGACACCTTCGAACTCTGTTCTGCGTGCAATGGCGGTCGCATACGCTCCATTCGCTCCAGTTCGTGAAATACGACAATTTCGTGGATCCTGTAAACGTGTCATTTTTTATTTCAATGTTCAACCTTTTTACAATTGTCAATTTATATTCTCCTTTGAATGTTAATCGTGACTTTTATCGGTAACTACTGTTTTCGAAGATGAAAAATTGACAATTTTCAAACTAATAAATTAGGATTTTGAAATGACTAAATTAGGATTTCTAAGGCTGTCCTTGCGCGAAAATAGTGTTCCATCTTTAATAAATAACTCACTGTTCTTTGGTAATTGCTCCACAACAGAATCTTGATCGACGACGCGTTGCCAGCTGGTCCCATTGTTCCCGAAGCTCGCGAACGTCCCATTTCCACTCTAAAATTAGCACAGAGAGCAACGTGTAATTAATCATCGACACCTGAAAGGGAGAGATCGCGAACGTGACTCGGTATTAACGATTCTTCCCCCCTGTTCGCAAGAAAAAAAAAAACACCATCCACGGATACAGAAATATCTACATTGCAAAATGCTCTCTCCTTTTTCCTCTCTTTCTCTCTCTCTCGATGGTGAACGTGGACAATGGCAAACTGGACGTGGATAAAACATGGAGCGATACTGTACGAGGGAAAGCAATTGCCTGGCGTAGTACGTGTCCGTCACGTAGGCAGATCGTTGCAAAAACGACCTGAGATTAACAGCTGCGCGCCGAACTAATAAACGCGCGGCGGCGTGCTCGCGCGGATTACAATTGAACGCGTTAAGTGTCGCGGCGATTTTCGTAATTCGCTCGGTGACACTCTTCGGACGTCTCGATACGAAGGGAAATCCACTTCTGCGCGATGTTTCGACTGTGACGAGATTAGGTTTGTTGCGGTGACTTATTTTGGCTTCGTTCTAAGGTAGAAATATTTGTCATTTTAAAATTAGTATACTTTAGGGAAAAAGATGCGAGTCTATCCTTTGGTGATGAAATTTCGTTGGAGACCAATAAAAATTGATCTCGATTTAGCATCCAGGATCGACAGATAATTAAGAAATTTTTCTTAAATGGTTTCGTTCTAAGATAGAAATATTTTTCATTTTAAAATTCACGTGTTTAGCGAAGATGCGAGTCTATCCTTTGGTGATCAGTTGGAGAAAAATAAAAATCGACAGATAAGTAAGGAATTATTTAAAAAATTAATTCGGTCACGAAAGGGGTAAATTTAAAAAATTAGGATTAAATCGTGTCTGTCCTTTGGTGATCAGTTGGAAACCAGTAAAAATTGATCTTAATTTAGTATCCAGGATCTATAGATAAATAAGAGATTTTTTTTTTAAAGGGTTTAAAATTCAGGCTAAATCATTAGCTTGCCGTTATTTTGTAATGAACAGCAAGTAAAGGAGGATAATAAAGTAGAATTTGTATAATTCACTCTAGAATCGACTCGAGAATATTTCGTTCCACAAGTACTCGACTTACGAACATCGAAGCTTGAAAAGAAACCGTATCAATTGTCATTAGCCTGAAATATTTCGCTATTGTATTGCATCCTTAACGACTGGTACGTCAACGAGGAATGGTAAAAAAGCGGGCAGCGCCCGTAGGACAAGAAAGCCAATAAAAGAGCGATCGAGTTGTTGTGAGAGGCTGAAATCGTGGTAAAAACCGTGGAACAATTACTCGTTCTTAAGCAAAGAGTTAATAGACTAGTCCTTGCTAACATTGGCTGCCGGCCGTCTCGGATATCGTTCAGCATTCCCCAAGGCTGTAACGTTCAGCATGCGGCACTAAACTCAATTTGCCGGCTCGTAAATGGCACCGCGACGTAACCGCCGGCGTCGCAGTTGCTCAATGTCACCGCGGAGCTTTTAAGATTTGGCCAAGTCAGGAATTTTTTGCTTATCTTGTTAAACGCGATCGCCGAAAGAAGCGAGACTTGTGTCGAACGAGAACGAGGGAAACGTTAGGTGTAGTCGCTGTTTTTCACCGATTTCCTTTCAATTTCCAAATGTACCAAATTTAATACCATTAATTTCTATTTTGTCGGTAATCTAACCTCGCCTGTGGAATGTACTTTTTATATTGTTCCCTTGGTTTTGTTTCTTTTTTCTCGATATTGGGGACCAAGTATTTCTTTCTCAGACCTCAAGAGTTAATAGTTTAGTAATGAGAGTATTATTTGAAGAAGCGTGTGCAAGAAAATTTGGACAATTCTTGCATTCGAATTTACTTAGCAAATAAGAGATTCTCCGCTCTAACGCACATGTTATGCGAATTTACTATAAGTTACCCTCCTTTCGGAGATTTAATTCGAAGGATATTTTCGATAAACGCAGCCTCGTCGATCAATGAAAATGGAACTGGCACACGCAGATCACACCCTCCTTTGATCCAGCCCACGATGCTCATTATCCTAGACAATAGACGGAGCAAAGCAGCGACGACGTTACCTCATCCAGGTCGGCCGTCTTGGGAAATCTAATATCGGACGGACGATATTCCGCAGGGTGGATCGCTCGCTATAAACCGTCTAATTATCCTTCCTCCAATTTGGAAGTAAAAAAGAGCACTCGAGACAATAGACCGGTGACGTCATAACGCGCGAAGGTGATCCTCTTTTCGCGAGTTGATTTCTTTCAAGATTTCCTCTCTAACGCGTTACCATACACCTAAGACAATTCTTCGTACTTTCTTTTTCTTTCTCTGACCTGGATTACTAACGTATTACAATTCAAATTAAAAATATATTCTAATTAAAACTGATATATAATCGTTGAAATTTCTGAGAGTGGAAGTTAAATTTCTTCCCAGAGAATAATGTATTGAAATGTGAAATTAACGAAGTATTTTATTTTGTGTCTGATATGAAAAGAAAAGCTGATTTGAGGTGTGGATGCAGTTTTAAGAGAAATTTGCTGAAATTTACGAGGAATGATTTTTTGGTATTTGTTAGAAAAGAGTTAAATGTAAATCGAGACGGAAAGTGGATGTAATGTTGAGAGAAAATTAATCGAATTCGATGGTTTTGGTAAAGAAGTCGTGTCAACGCGATACGAATCACCGAGACTCGCAACAGTCGCGTTGGGTTCATTTAAATGAGGTACAATAATTTCGTTGTTCCCCTGGAGTTTATGATGTCGTTAATTCTGTCTCTTGAGCGTATGCGACCCGGGAGTTCAGGGTTAACGATGTTCACGTATTGTACAATTAATTCCTTCGAAGCAGGTTGCAAAAAGGAACAGGTTTCTCGTTGATTTCCTTCCTCTCTGCAAGTAGACCACGCCTCGAATTTTTTCCTCCTTTTAGGTAACTCCAATTACGATCTTCCGATAATTGTAATTCTCTTTTATGAACGTTTTAAATTTTATAATTTCTCATTTCCATGCGAATTTCTAAACTGAAATGAAAGTATCAATGTGGAGAGGTATAGTAACCGATTAATCCGTTGAAATACAGTTTTAGAAGAGAAAAGTCTGCGAAATGGCAGAATTCGTCTTTCAGTCGTCGAAGTTACGTCGAGAGAGTTGAGAGAGATTTCATTTCTGCTTGTTAGGTTAACGACGATAGACGTTGGATCGATAAAATTTTCAATGGGCCGAGGACGCGTCGCGAATGCGAAGATATTCAAAGCATCGAAATAATTCCGGCAATCGCCCCGAGGCCAAATTCGTCGCTTCTTCCGCGACACGGTGGTGGAAGAAAAAGCAGACGGATGAAACGAGAGAGTTCCTCTCCGCAGGGACAAGCAGAAGACGCGTGGAATTTGTATGCGCCGCGGTGGACATGGCCAAACTAGGCTGAAGTCCGCCGGTGTCTTGCATCTCCCCGATGGAATCGCAAAAACCGCGTGCCACGCACCGGAGCGAACGATTCTTGGGGATGGACAGTGACGAAAACTGTCTTTGTCGAGGATTTTCGATAAGAAAAAATTGAATTTTACTCTCTGTGGCCCGAGTTTTTTTTTCGCTCGCCAGAAGATTCGTTGAAATTACGGTTGATTCAGATTTTACATTTCGACGAGAGGGGCAACGATAAATATTGAATTATTCCAAAGAAGTTGGCTAGTAATAGTAATGCAATAAAATTAGAATTGATTACAATTTTAATAACTAAAAATATTTAATTATTAGAAATATACATTTTGACGAGAGGAGCGAGAATAAATATTGAATCACTATAAAAAATTGGTTGGCAATAATGTAATGCAATAGTGCAGCAATAAAGAAAAAATAGAAGTTCATCCTTTATGATTCGATTTTTCTTTATTCGCGAGAAGAAAAATTATGGTTGATCGCAATTTCACATTTCTATGGAAGGAGCAAGAATTAATGCTGAATTATGATAACGAAAAAAAATACAGATAAACAGATACGCAAGATTCAAGCCACGAAAGGGTTAAAATTGATAAAATTTTACTACGAATCGATCGAGAACGTAATGCGATCGAAGAAAGGCTCTCTGTTGGTCGCCAGAGTACGGAGAATTCCGTGAGACCGTGCAGCAAATGATTCACTGGCATTACGTATGCAACTTTAATACCGTTTCGCATTCGAAGCATCCCTGAACGGCACCCTACCAAGACACATTCCATCGGTGTTCACCTGTGCGCGTTTGTCGGTGCTTTATGCTCGCGTAACTGTACTCGAGCACGTATGATCGTTTATTTTGTGGAAATTGAGGGACGTGATTCGATTCACGCGTGTCTTGGATCCTTTCCATCTCGGAGTTTGCGATTTATCGTTGGGAATTAAGTGTGGGCGGATGGTTTAATAAATTCAACGATGTCCCGTGGGAGGTGTGTTGTAAATATTCATGAATTATGCGAATCTAGTAATAAGCAGTCTACTATTTTTCCTTCTTCTTTTTATTCTCCTTCGGGAAAATTGTAGCTTCTAGTTCTAATAATAATTTAACCCTTTGAGGACTGTGATATTATCATTATGATTGTGTATTAATTATTTGGTTGAAATATTTGGTTAACTAAAGTATCCTGTGCCTTAAAATAAACGAAACATCTCAGTCTGCAGGTTTACTTTCGCGTGTTGAAATTTAGTAGGTACTCAAAGGGTTAGAGTGTCCCTTCGTAAGTACGAAAGGTAGTGAATTTCTTATTTGGGCTAATAACATCCATTAAAATTTAATTGTGTTTAATTTCTTCTCTTCTAGCATCGAGTCATTCGCGACACAGATTTCACTTCACCTTCAAATTTCACAAAAATCGATCATATTTGCTACAAACTTTCCATCTCAGTCCTCGTTCATTTTCACCTCGCTACCCCAGAAATTCCAGTCCTCCTTTCCAACACAACTACAAACCACAAACCCTAAAATTAATCGAATCCTCCTCCCCACCCACCAATCCCAAACTAGCAAGTCACATTACAACCCAAGA